CAACGGGCAAATGCGGTGGGGAACGGCCATGAGGAGCAGGCTGTGACACGGGGGGAGCAAGAGGGCTGAAAGGGCCAGGCTGAGCACAAGGAGCCCCCATCTGCTGAGAGCGAGGGTGCCTGTTGTGCCGTAGGGCAGCGTGCCCATCCGGTTGGTGCTGAGGGATCTCTTGTGGCAAAGTCAAAGCCGAACCCCGAGGCAGTGTGGGGGAGCAGCTCTTGGCTACCCGGCAGCTTGCACCAGGCTACAGAGGGGATGCTGGAGTACCACGTCCTGCTGCCCTGTGCCCAGGGACTGTTGCGGGGACAGATGGAGGGACCTTCGTGCTTCCTCCCCTGTAAATCCCCCTGGATTGCAAAAGCTTGGCGCTCTTCCCTTGCCACCATGCAGCGCGGGGCCTCGGGGCTGAAATGCAGTTGATGAAAGCGCTCGTGCAGATCGACTCGACAGAGCTTGTCTGTCTAACATGGGGAGGGATCGTTGCGGGCGTGGGCAGAGGAGGACTCCTTCCCAGCCCTGTTTGAAGCGTACTGGCCTTGGCATCTGGTCGGAGCCTGCTTCGCTGGCGGGAGCCTTGTTTCTCTCTGCTCACACCTGTGCTTTTTGTCTCTTTTTCCCTTCTCCCTCTCCTTTAGCTGCTGCTAGAAGAATACGCTAACAGCGACCCCAAACTGGCACTTACAGGCATCCCCATCGTCCAGTGGCCCAAGAGAGATAAGGTAGGAGCTGCAAGGAGGGGACCCGGGCACGTATCGCGTGTGGTTGAGCTGATTACCTGCCCTTGGCCGAGTCACTGCCTGCGACTGGGGTGCACTGGCACTGCTTCCATACTTGCCTTGGGAGCCTTAGCCAGCGGGAAGAAAGGGAGCAGTGCAGAGGCAGGCCATGGGGCACAACCACCTCTGCAGCACCGTGGGCAAACCCATTTGCTGGCAGTGGTGGAGGTCTCCTACCGTTCTGGTTACTCTATTTCAGCTGATGGGTGTAACTGGGTCAGCCCCAGCTGCTCCATGTTCTCCATCCCCTCAGTCATGCTCAGAGGAGCTGGAGTTCTGCTGTTGGTGGAAAGGATGATCCTCTAAAGTAAGCTCTCCCAGCAGCTTTCCAGCTTGACAAGGGAGTCCTGGGTGGTACGAGTGATGTTGCGTGTCAGGGGAACATATGGATATTGCATTCCCCGAGAGACGAAGGGTGAGCTGTGGGGGTTGATGACACTAGGTGAGCGTGCTCCTTGAGTCCATGCCCCAGCCCATGCTTTAGTATTGACTCTTGCAACCACAAGGAAGGCGGCTCCCTCCTCGGGATCTCTACCTGCAGATAGCAGTCAGCTTCTCGGGAAAGGGGCCTTTCAGCCCTTCCCTCTCCAGCTGTGCTCGTAACCCAGGGCCTAAAGTTTGGCAATGGCCCAGGCTGAGCTTGCTGGACAGATAGAGGTGAGGAGCAGCCTGCCGCTGGTTGGCCGGACTTCCCCTCTGCAGGATGCCTTCCCAAAGCCTGGCAGGATGGCTTCTGTAGGTTACTTCTTCCTTCCTGTCGGGAAACGGTCTCACGGGCAGGCGTATGGGAAGAGCAGGACCCTATTGCACTGGGAAGGGTGGGTAGTACCCTATCTGTGTGTGTGGAGACAAACAAGCCTCTCGGAATGCCCTTTGGAGGTGCCTGTCTGCCTACTGTGCTCTGCCCAAGGGGATCCAGCATGATTTCCTGGTCCTTCAGCAGCACAAGCATCTCAGACAGCTTTTTATGAGAGAAAAGACCTGGAGATATCTGCACACTTTGGATGCAACACTCAGATTCTTGGCGCATCCCCAACCCTGTTCCTGTGCTGGGATTTTTGGGTGCCTGCCCTTCCCCAAGCCCATCAGCTGTGGTGCACATGCCATCACGGCCGATCCCAGAAGGATGCTGCAGCCAGTGTGTTTGCTGAGGGCTGATGTCACATGTGGTGGCAGGTGTCTGCTGGAGAGCTGTGCTGTCCTACCCCCACTGTAAACAGGGGTGCTTGGGTGTTCCTTGGGTGTTTTTTTGTGGGAAA